CTCTAGGTATCTAGCAAATGGTCTTGAACGTTATTCACCTGAACCATCATATCTGCCGTAGTACTCACCACCACGACCAGATCTAACTGTTTTAATTCTTTTGTTGAGTTGATTCTCAACTTCAGCTTTAAAAGCTTTGAACATGTCCAGAGACTCAGATTTCTCATGAATGAGATATATGTACCCATAACGTGAGTAATCGTCTATGAATGATATAAAATATTGTTGACCATTCCAAGATGCCGTAGGGAATGGCCCACAAATATCTGTATGTATCAATTCTAAGACATCCGAAGATCTATTGGCACCTAATCTTTTTACTTTGGTCTGTTTTCCCTTAATGCATTCAATACATACGTTAAAATCTGAAAAATCAAGGGAATCCAAAATACCATCAGACACAAGACGCTCAAATCTACCTTTTGAGATATGACCCGAGCGCTTATGCCATAATGTCGCTGAATTTTCCTTATTTAATTTACGCTTAGTACCACGTGATTCCACATGCAAGGATTCATTATAAGAAGTAATTGTATCAAGCAAATATAGGTTGTCACAAGTACTCAAGTAACCAGTTCCTACAATAATTGAATTAAAAGATAAACTGAATTGATTGTTTCCAAATGAACAAGAATAACCTGATTTGTCCAATACAGAAACTAAAATTAAATTTCGTCTAAAAGACGGTACTACAAAAGTATCTTTTAAATCCAAATATGAACCAGTTCCTAACAGCAACCTAAAGTGCCCAATTGCTTCCACATCTACTGACTGACCATCACCCACAAAGATGTATCTTTCACCATCACTTGACTTCCGGTAGCTCAGGCAGCCCTGTATAGAAGCACTTATGTGAGTAGTAGCACCAGAGTCTAACCACCAAGTGTTTCTAGGTACTGAAGCTAAATTAATCTCAGAACAGACCAAAGTAAGGAACATACCCTTCTTAGCACGCCAGGCGTGATATTTGGTACAATCCTTCTTTACGTGTCCAGACTTGTTGCAGAAGAAACAACCCTGACCATCCTTATGTTGTTTCTTCTGAACAGAACCCTTAGCAGCTTCATTATCATTCTTTTTTTTCTTACCCTTATCCTTAGAGGCATAGATCAAATGAACACTTTCAGTCTTATCTTGCTTCAACCTGTCTTCTTCTTGCACATAGTATGAAATGAGCTCATTTAGATTCCATTTCTCCTTTTGACGGTTATAACTGACCTTAAACTGATTGAATTGTGCAGGAAGAGACAACAGAACCAGATGTACCAATAACTCATCACAAAGATCGAGTTTAAGTGCCTTAAGCTTTGAAGCAATATGAGACATTTCCATAATGTACTCACTGATATTTTCTTTGCCCTTATACTTTATTGATATCAAGCGAGCTAAAAGTGTGCTTGTTTCTACCTTATCATTTTTCGCAAAATGTTTCTCAATTTTGGCAAGGAAATCTTTAGTCTTAGTAATCCCTTCAGATTCTATGTCCCTGAAGGCTTCCGGAATGCCGCGCTTAATGATCATTAGACTCATGCGATTTGAACGCTCTCATTTCTCATACTCCTTCTTTGCATCAGGAGTGCTATCCGTATTGAGAGATTGGGGTTGTTCAGTTCTTAATGCAAAGTCTAAATCCATGCAGCCAAGAACAATTAAAATGTTATCTTTCCAAACCTTGAAATTAGTCCCATTGGGAATTGAGTTGATGTCAGCAGAAATTGTTGCAGCAGATGCACTAGCTGAAATAAACAAAAGATTTTTAACCTTAATTAGTGATCAATTCAAATAATGATAAATCCCATCTCAAGGTATCTGGTATAACATTAATATCAAGTCTTTGGACAGTAATATTAATTGCAAGTGATACCTTGTTGCAATGATCAAATACTGACAATAACGCATGTCAAATAATGAAACTATCTTTGGATCGATTCATTACCCACATATAAACCTTATAATCGTCACGTATTTATCATCACAGATGCGTATGCAATCTAAAAATAAATAATAACCTTCCTTTGGGCCGATTAAATATTTACACGAAAACATACACACAAACATCTAACATCCCTCATGAATAATCTATACAAGAGATGTTACTTTGGCTGTTAGACCCTAGGGGGGGTGATTAGGGTCTTATGCTAATCTAATCCGATTAAATACCAATTAAAAATTAATTAACAAATTATCCTAGTAAGTATGAAATACAACAAGATATATGAGGTAGGATAAGCAATAAGAACAACAAGATATATATCCTATATGATAAATATATGCAAGGATATATAAACTAGCACAAGATGATATATCCTACCAAAGAGATATACAAGATATATGCAAGGATATGTAAACTAACATAAGGGTAAACAATATGAAATAAGATAGAGGATGATATGAATAATGAGACAATGTCGATATGAGCAATGAGCACAAATATAAATGAACGCCAAAGCACACTCAAACACAATCAAATGATCACGGAGTTCGGACATTCCGTCATACGTCTCCGCTCCCCACTCCCGGGGAGAAATCCACTATCACAACCTGGTTTTCTACGCTCACCCGAATAACGTTTACAACCACACTATGTCGGTTTTCAACGATCACCGATCAACGTCACTCCTCACACTCGGTTTTCTAGTTCACCGAAAACTTCACAACACACTCGGTTTTTTAGCTCACCGAAAACCTTCAAATATAAATTTGTTCTCTACAATAGATGAGAACACAATTAAGCACAACTCAATGTTACAATCTCTCACAACCCTAATATACTATGTATGCAAATACAATAAGCTCAAGTGGGTGTGTGTAACAATGAGATAATATAATCAAATCTAAACTCAATATAAAAACTAGCTTTAAAGAATGATAATCAAATAACTAAGCAAATGTAAAGCTAGATAGAGTTTAGAAAACTTCTCCAATAGATGACAAGATGGAGAGATGGAGATTGGAGCCCAAACAAGAAGATGATCTCCTCCACTTGTGAAAATAATCTTCAAACCAAACAAATACTAAAACACACTTAAACCCTTGTTTAAAACATTTCTTGAGTACCCTTAGAAGTATGATGACATGGAGTATATATAGGCTCATGAAACAAGCCCCAAAACCCAAGAAAACCAAGCAAAAAGACAAAATAACGGATATATCAAAATCTAGAAAATATAGCCATTGTGCTACAGTAACCACGTCCAGAGAGTTTGGCGGTCAACCGTACCGGTCGACCGCTGGTACTGTAGCACTGCATTTTAGTTTTGTAAAATCGATTAAAAATAGTAAAACAGCTCCAAAAAATATGAAATTTTGTGGGAAGGTTATAGACATGTAGAATAACATGTTAGAGAAAGAATTTCTGAAAAATTATTTCCCAGTTAAGAGAAATAAATGTTTGAACACAGATTTACAGTTTCTGAAAAACTGCTGACATACGCGATTTTGTAAAATCAATTGGGCACAGTAAATAAACTCCAAAAATAGTAAAATTTTGAGAAAAGTTTCTAAACATGTAGATAAACAAGTCAAAAAAAGAATTTCTTGAATATCACTTTCCATTTATAAAAACTCATCTGTTTTGTAAAACATGCACGAACATGTGCACAAACAAAAACATGATTTTGTAAATTCCATTAAACATAACAAATCAATTCCAAACTTGATGAAACTTTGCAAAATGTTTATAAATATGAAAACAAACATGTTACAAAAATAAATTTTCAATCCGACGAAACAAAAACGTCGGCAAAAGTTTAAAAAACGTCGGGAAAAATCTTTCCTGACGCAAAATGCAGCGTCGCTAACGCGTCGCCAAAAGTGCGTCAAGGAAAGTATTTGGTGACGCAAATACACCGCGTCGCCAAAAGTGTACTTTTGGCGACGCGTCATGCGTCGGGAAAAGTATACCTTTTAGCGACGCATAATATTTTGCGTCGGCAAAAGTGAAACATGTAACTGAAGTTTACAAATGGAATACGTACTCTCTACTTTCAAACACCTTTAACACAAAAAATTCTGAAACTAATTAGCAAAACAAGATATATTATAGCTCCATTCTGTCATAAGAACTATTAATTAGCAAAACAAGATATATTATAGCTCCATTCTGTCATAAGAACTATCATAATTATGAAAATAAATTGGCGATCCATTTAAGTTGTGTCAAGAGCTGTCATAAGAAACAAACATATAACTGAAGTTTATACATGCTGCTTTTATTGCCTTCCAAAATCCTTGTTAGTCTCTGACCCCTTGGCTCTAATGAGTTAGTGACAGTAACTGTCAGCTAGCGGTTGTTCATATCTAGGTAGGCCAAATTGCTAGTCCCAACCTTCTATATTTTTCAGTTTCTAACGCCGTTACTTGTTACCTTTTGAAGAAAAGTGAAATTAGGGTCATTCACAATATCAGAAATACAGTTCTGGCACTTAGACTAAGCCTGTTGATATGTGCCATTTAAGTACTCATTCAATGAATCTACCAATATTAATTCTTGGATCGCTGTCTTTCTCCATCACGTTATCACCAATGTTTTTGTGGTTTTCAATTCTCAATTCTTCTCAGCAGCAATAAATAGTCCAGTCTGTGCGTCCCTCGACGAACCTTATTGGGCAGGGAAAACTCAGGTTGAGATAATCCGCAAGATATCGTCTCCTTTAACTCAAATTGACAATCTCCAGGCAGGGAAAACTCAGGTTGAGATAATCCGCAAGATATCGTCTCCTTTAACTCAAATTGACAATCTCCAACAAAAGAATATCCTTTAACACAAGATATATTAAGAATATATTGTCTCCTACTTGTCTGCCACATGATATATTAAGATATCGTAAAGGAGAAAAGAAATTTGTGAAGCTATACTGTCATTTTTAAAGATGTAAGATCCATATCATTAATGAATAGATATAAGTTTTTTGTATAGATTGATTTAACAAAAGTAAATTGGACATGCGTACATAGGTATCTTGTGCTTTCTCGTTTACCCATACTTTCCCTTTTTTCTGGTAGTGGGTTTCCTTGTAAAATTCTGGAAAAGAGGGAGCTTGACCATCATGCCTTGATTTCTGTAATTTAATTAATTTATCATTAAGGTTGTTAATAACTATTTATAGTCTATTTAAAAAGTAAAAACTATATTAAAGCATATCTAAAATGCACACAAAATACTCAATTAAAAAAAACAAAATTAGATTTTCTAACAGATCAGCAGAGCAGCCAACAACACTATAAAGCACTAAGTGAACAGATTGTAGAAAAAAAATAGATGACATGAATATGGATCAGCTGCAATATCAGGGCAATAAGTGTCCAAGTACCATGAACTGTAAAAAAATAATAAAAAAATAAAAAGAAAAAAAAGAAGGTTGGGCTTCGACGAAGGCAGCGGTGAAGAATTTCCAGAAATATGATGAGAAAAATCGTACGATAGCTATAGTGTTAAACCATGTTTTCAGGGTTAGAATACTGGGTACTGAAGAAACATGCCAAAGAAAAACTCAAACAAGAACGCTAAAATAAAAGAACGACTATATTGTAAAAGTTAGAACCAGTAACAAGTGCTCTTAACGGTGCCATAGACATAGTTAAAGGAGTTGCAACGATCAGAGAGATCAAGAATATATGAATCCACACTAAAAGACATATATATGCTAACTTATACAGGGAATGCCCTTCAGATAAATGAGAAAGAATTAACCCTTCCACAATACTTGAGAAACTGATGCTATCCTTTCTTTTCATGGTAAATTTAATTATCGAATACTATATTTTGAAAGAGTAAAACATATGAAGGCAATCCAAGTAATCAGTTCCAGCTCAAGTTCTTTATAAAAACACCAACTCTAACGATAAAATGGAATAGCAACGCGAAATAATAACCAACAAGAGATGCGGGAGAGAGAACCATACAGCACAGCAAATCTGGAGGCGTGCAACCGCACTGATGGAAAGCTTTTCCGACCAGAGAAAGAAACCAACTTCTAGCCAGAGAAACCACTAACTACCTACAAAATTGTCAAGTGCTCTGCTTAGTTAAACCAAGTAGACTCACTCCATATCTTATTGCATGCAAATTATGATCTAAAGGCCTGTATCTGTTCGCTGGAAAATTCGTTGCTTTCTTCATTGATGTCATTGCTATCTTGAATAACAGTTTTTCGGTTACAGAAGATCCGGTCTTTTTTTAGATCCGGTTACAATGAAAATCAAAAATAAAGAAAATCAAAAATTACAACTTTTTCTCCTTGTGAACAAATCGCGAGCTCCTGTTATTCGGTCACTCGCTTTGGTGGGTTGTTTGCCTGCGCCGGGGTTGTTTGCCGTGGACCACCGTGCGATCTAGATCCGGACAGATCTACGTAGTATAACGGGTATTATTTCACGAAGGAAATAATAGCCGGGGAGGATTGATTCACCAAGGAAACAATCGTCCAAGTCTCGGGATCTAAGACAAAGCTTAGATCCGGAGTGTAACAAAGTAGTAACAGCGTAGATCTGAGATCTTGATCCCCTTGAACTCCTGCCTTTTTTGTGATGCGGGTGCTCGCCGAGAATCAGATCCAAACGTCCAAGTCTTCAAGCCTTCAAAAAAAACTCCAAGATGAGGTCTCAATCCGGCAGAGTTTCGGCTCTCCAAAAGTTCTTCCAAAAAGTCCTCCAAAATGATGAATGACCTCGCCTATTTATAGGCAACCAGATCTGTGCATTTGGCACAGATCTGGAATGATTTCATTTTAGTTCAAATATATGTGGATGACATTATTTTCGGTGCTACTAATGAATCCTTGTGCAAGGAATTTTCTAAAGTTATGCAGGATCACTTTGAGATGAGTATGATGGGAGAGCTTACATTCTTTCTCGGGCTCCAAGTCAAGCAAACTAAGGATGGGATTTTCATTTCACAAAGCAAGTATGCAAAGGAATTGGTGAAGAAATTCAAGTTGGAGAATTCCAAGCATGCGCCTACTCCCATGAGCACTAGTGTTAAGCTTGATGCGGATGAAAGTGGTGAAGACGTGGACCAAAAATTATACCGAGGTATGATAGGTAGTCTTCTTTATCTTACTGCTAGTAGACCCGATATTATGTTTAGTGTGTGTGCATGTGCACGTTTTCAAGCATCTCCTAAAGCATCTCATTTAATTGCCGTTAAAAGAATCATTAAATATGTTAATGGTACTTTTAATCTTGGCTTGTTTTATCCCAGAAGCACTTCTTTTGATTTATATGGTTTTTGTGATGCCGACTTTGCCGGGTGTAAAGTAGATCGCAAGAGTACTAGTGGAACATGCCAATTCTTAGGAAATTCACTTGTTTCTTGGGCTTCCAAGAAACAAAATTGTGTTGCATTGTCCACTACGGAAGCGGAATACATTGCCGCCGGCTTATGTTGTGCTCAAGTTTTATGGATGAAACAAAGTCTAGTTGACTATGATTTGCATTTCCAAAATATTAAAATCTTTTGTGATAACACAAGTGCCATAAATATTTCAAAAAATTCGGTTTTGCATTCTAGAACCAAACATATTGATGTACGCCATCATTTCCTACGCGATCATGTAGAGAAACTAAATGTATCCCTAGTATTTGTTGACACAAAATCTCAACTAGCGGATATATTCACTAAGCCTCTTGGAGAGGATGATTTTTGTCGCATAAGAAATGGTTTGGGCCTATGCACTATGTGAGCGTTCTACATTGTGTGCTTGTTTAGTTGTCGTTTATATTTCTTTTTACCCCATTTTTTTTGATGTTGCCAAAGGGGGAGAAACCTCTCCTCTTTTGTTGCACATCCTTAGGGGGAGCTCATAGATAGGGGGAGCATCTATCTATAAGTTATTTTATTTTTGCTCTTAAAATGGTTGGTTGTCATCATCAAAAAGGGGGAGATTGTTAGCCCTTATGTTTTGATGATGTTCTTACAACCACCATTATTGGTACTAATGGCTTATTGAGTGAAATTGTAGTAAATCTATTTATCAAGCTCGTTAGTGCCATAAATGGAGGATGGATGGAATATATGCTACAAAGATAATATCCAAAGGAGGAGGAGGCCAAGAGATGAAGCAACGTTAATTCAAGAACGACAAACTCATATAAAAGCTTCATCCGATTCAAGCTAATCAAAGCTCAAGTATTGCTTTAAATATGAGGATATTAGCTTTCCTTTATGTTTCTCTCTAGTGCTAGATTGTAGGCAAAGAGTCACTATGTTTACATGAAGCTATTGGGACTTACACACATGTTTTCTTTCTTAAACTTTTAAGCCGTTTTCACAAAACCTTATTTTTCACAAATACGAGAACCTATCTGCAAAATTCTTTCTTCAAACAGTTTGTTTTTAGTATCAAAAACATTTTACAAAGTTTCAGATTTTTCAGAGGTCAAATAAATATTCTACAAATATTTTAACTTGGTCAAAAACATGTTTTCCAGCATATGTCAGAAAGCGGTCGACCGGATCGGTCGACCGCACATATCATCTTTTCTTACTGGTTTCCAGAGAGGTCGTCGGTCGACCGGGCCGGTCGACCGAATTCTCGATTTTTATATCGGTCGACCGATCCGGTCGACCGACAGTGTTTCTGCTGGTTTTCTTATTTTTCTGAAGCAGCTCACGGTCGACCGAAATTTTCGGTCGGTCGACCGACGTGATTTTTCGGTCGACCGAACGTTATTTCGGCCGACCGCTTTTTTTTCCTTCAGTCAACACGAGATTTTTTAAACGGTCATTTTTATTTTCGATTGTCGTGCTTTCACTCTTTTGTGCTTGGCTCAGTCTGAGCTAAGACTCTGTAAAGGGGATTATCTTCCTAAACAGGAAGATTGGGTTTGTTTTTAAAATTGTTTTAATCTATTCTATAAAAACCCTACAGCTGCTTCTTCTTCTTCCTTGAGCCAAACGTTTGAAAACCAGAGAGAGTATTTTCTGTTTCTGCTGAGAAAATTTTCAAATCAGTCCTGCTTTCTTCTCTGTGGTTTTGTGTGAGCTCACCTCCCAGCTTCAGAAATTTGTTCTCTTTGCCATAGGAGCTTTGTAAGAGAGAGTTCTACATCTGTTATCTTGTGCTGTGTAGTTGAGATCTTGAGTAAGATCTACTGTGAGGGAGTGATCTGTTGAGATCAAACTGTGTAGTGAGAGAGATCGTGTGGGATCGCTGTGTAGACGAAGTTCCGGCTTCCAAACCGGCTGTGTAGTGGATTTCTCCTCGAGAGTGGGGAGCGGGGACGTAGGCCAGAGGGCCGAACCTCGTTAACACATCGCGCGTCAAGGATAACGATTCCTAACCCTCTCTTATTTACCTTGTTTGCATCTATTTACTGTGAATTGATTGTTGTGTGTTTTTAATCTGCATATTAGAGCCTTTTGACCCTAATCACCCCCCCTCTAGGGTCCAACAATTGGTATCAGAGCTTGGTCTCTATATTAATTTTTGGTTTAATCACCTTAGAGTAAAGATCTTATGGAGGCTTCTTTGAATATGCATATGTTAGAAGGACAATCCACAACTAGGCCACCTCTCTTCACCGGGAGCAATTTTGCTTATTGGAAGGCTAGGATGAGAATTTATCTTCGTTGTATTGACCTTGACATCCTAGGGCTTATTGAAAAGAAATATGTAGAGAAATCCAAAGTTGAGAACATGTCCGATGATGAAAGGCACCTTGCCAATCTCAATGCTAAGGCTATGAACGCCTTAATTTGTGGTCTTTCCCCTAATGAATACAATAGAGTCTCCACGTGTGCAACCGCATACGAAATTTGGGAAAAATTATGTGTCACACATGAGGGAACACCCCAAGTTAAGGAGTCTAAGATTAGTGGACTTATGCATGATTATGAGCTATTCAAAATGCTTCCAAATGAATCCATTGATGCTATGTTTTCCCGTTTTACTAATATCATCAATGAATTACATGGTTTAGATAAGCAACTATCTATTCAAGAGATGAACTACAAGATACTTCGTTCCTTAACTCCGGCATGGGAGCCCAAGGCTACGGCCATCGAGGAGGCTCATGACCTCACTACATTAGCTCTTGATAGTCTTATCGGAAAGCTCAAAGTGCATGAAAAGAAGCTCAAAGGGAAGGAGAAGGAGGAAGTGCCATCACGTGAAGTTGAGGAACCATCACCAAAGTTGAAGACTATAGCTCTCAAAGGAGCTAGTGACAACTCATCTTCGTCATCGGAGAGTGAAGTAGATTTTTCTAGAGAAGTGGCTCATCTCTCTAGAAGAATCTCTAGACTTATAAAAATGAACAAAAAATTCAATCCCCGATCTAATAACAAGTTTTCATCTCGTGTAGGAAAATGTTTTGAGTGCAATGAACCGGGTCACATCGCTAAGGATTGCCCCAAGCTCAAGGAGAAGTACATGAAGTACAAGAAGAAGAAGGCTATGTATGCCGGATGGGAAGAATCCGAACCAAGTGATTCGGATAGCGATGAGGAGGGAGCCAAACTTGCCCTTCATGACCCAAATGTTTGTTTCATGGCAAATGAACATGAGGTAATATCCGAGGCCGAAAGTGAATCTTTCTATATGCAATGTGATATAGCTATGGCATTAGAGGAGTTGAACTTTGAATTTAAACGAATGTCTAAAGAATACTCCTCTTTCAAAAAGTTGCATGTCTCTTGTGATATTAAGCTTGAACAACTAACAACCTCTCTTGCTCTAAAAGATGAATTGCTAGGAGATCTCGATTTCGAAAATAAACAATTAAGATCAAAAATTGAAAGATTAGAAATTGAAGGTTGTAGGACTAGACCCACTCATGTCTATGCCAATCACCATGGTAGAAATAGGTCTTATGGCTCTCACACTCGTGCATACAAAAGAAACTTTGTATGTACTTATTGCATGAGACATGGACACATTTCTACTCATTGTAGAGTTAAAGACAATGAAGATTTTTATGGTTTAATATGGGTACCCAAAGGCACCAAAACTACTAACCACCAAGGACCCAAGACATGGGTACCTAAAGCTACAACACCTTCGTCTTCTTCTTTTGTAGGGGACGTCACGGCAACGACGTAAGGAAATTTGGTACCTTGATAGTGGTTGCTCACATCATATGACGGGCA